GGGAGAACTGCCCTTGTGGGTTTCCGAGTCTGTAACTCTTTATGGGAGGAGAAAGCCAGTCTTTCCCTTGAGGAGCAGCTGGTGAGTTTGAGACTTTAAGGGGACACAGATTGTTCATCCTGCCCAATGTTTCCCAGAGTGGCTGCTACGGACCCCTGGGAGGGGGCACTGGAATGATCCAGAGGGTCTGCAAAGGAGATGCCTCCACTGTACATGGACTATGGCCTCTAGTACGAAAGTTTTTAATCACCAAGGGAGCTTCGAGTAATTTTTTCCCACTGAAAAGGGGGTGGCAGGCTAAATAAGTGTGGGAACCTATGATGCAGCCAGTAAGACAGCTCCCCCCACCTCCACCCCCAGGCTCCCGCAGCACTGGGCCGGGCAGCTACTCTGGGAACACACGCAAGGACTTTGATGATTGGTTTCTATTATGAGAACTCGGCCCCACAGAATCACCAGTGCGTCATTTGGATGCTGTGGCGCTGGAGGCTCCCATGCAGGGCAAAAAGCCATTTGATAGTCAGGGCTAGGGGATGCTGAACAGAAAACCTCAGACTGGGTCAGAGGTAACATTGGGGTACGTTGATCCAGAGTAAGTTAGCTCCCACCTGACTTTGATTTGTGAAACATCAGGCCCCCAGCCCTGTGCTATGCTGCCGGCAGTTCGTGTCCTCCCACCTTCCCCCTTTACCTCTTCCCCACAGCTGCTTACAGCTTCCTCACTGCAAGGCTAGTATTTACTGTCTTGCTCAAACAAAGATGTTGGCAATTTAAAATTTCTCTGGTTTTCAGCTGGTGACATTATTATCCAGCACTGTTTTCTTTTAGATTTTCGATTTCTGACATCCCAAGAGGCTTTCATGGATGGCTGATAACCACCACCACCACCGCCCGCCCCCCACCCCCGCCCCACTCCGCCAGCCCCCAACCCTTCCTCCTAGGTGAAATGTGGAAGATGAATATTCCAAAGCAGTCCCTGGGAGTTTGGCAAAAGAGACCACCGCAGACCCCTGGGTAATTCAGATCTTTTGGCGTCTGATGATTGTAATGAATGAGCTCTGCAGCACAATGAGCTTTCAGTTCAGTCACCTTTATTGCAGCCCAGGAGCGCCATGCCAAGTCAGTTCGGATCCAACCATCAGAAAATCACAAATATCACGCTAAAATAAATACTAGCCAGCAGTGCTGAGACCAGGGTGAGGCAAGGAGACACTTGCCCCAGGTACACCATTTAAAGGGGCATTAAACACTCGGGAATTGAGATAAATAATATTCGATTGCAATATTTTTTTAAAATGAGAAGGCAAA